TAAGTGATTAATGCTCTGGCGCGGCACGGCCAGCAGCCAAACAGGTGCAGCCCAGCCTCTCTGCAAAAAGCCTCACGACCAATTCATTGTCTAAGCAGCCAGTTGCCAGATTTCCTGCCATCCCCACAAGTGGCAGGCCGGCTCAGGTGCTGGTTTCATTCCTTTTTCATCCCTAACCTTGGCAGTCCCTGTATCACCAGGTGACAACAGAGCACTGAAGTGCACAGGAGGGAGGTAGCTGAGGTGAAATTAAGAAGAAATATTAGCCACCATGCTAGGAAACTTGCTGGGACAGTTCATCACAAATTGTTGGGGTGGTGATGCTCAGAAGGAAGGTGTGAGCTGTGGTATGGGTTATAGCCTGGGACAAGTTTGGTTGCTCACAATTCAGTGTGAGTCCCTGGCTGGAGGGGATCCATGCCACCCTCTCACAGCCAGTGCTGCTGCTGTGATTTATTCCCTTGTGTGGCCCCCAGCCCTCCTCTCCTCCTGCACAGCAGTGGGAATATAATATTCACTGCAGTGGGGCAGAGGGTCCTCGGGGATTCCCATGAGGACTGCTGGATCCTCTGATGGGTATTAGTGGGGCTAACTCCAGCATCCTGACCATCACTCAAGCCCGTGATGAGCGGAGCAGCCAGCGGATCGTTGGCACAGCCATGGACGTCACTAGTTGTGCAAAAGTCATGTGGCACCTCCTTCTCCCTTGGCCAGCAGCAGGGCTGCTCAGTTTGGGATTTTAGTTTGGATGTGAAAGGCTAACGCTGTAATGAGTAACATTGCTCTGCAATTACTCGCTTTTCAGTCCTCTGATGAAAGTACTTTAGAAATATTATACATTCGTCTGTAAGTAAAATAAAATCTACTGGAGTGATATTTTGCTCCTTTCTTCTCTGGGTAAATTCCACATCATTTATTACATTATATTTGTACATATTTCCCCAGTATATTCTTTCCTTCAAAAATTCATATTTAAAATGCCATATAAATAAAGTAACTCCTGCAAATATTTGTAGTGGGATTAAATGTAGCACATGGCGTTATTAAAGCATCAAAACTATTAGTGGTGTAGACAGCCTGAACAAATTACACCACGTGAATTTCAAGGGCTTGTTCAGATTTAATGGCCAGTAAAAGAGCAAAGCCACCCTAAAACCGAGAGAGAAAACTTGGCCACAAGTTCATCCTGTCCAGGTAAGGAGGTTTTGCAAACGGGATGCAGCCCATTCTGTGCCTTCCCAGTGCTGGGACAGGGCTCGCTGGTGACCTATCCCATGCTGCTGTGCTGTGGCAGAGGGTTTGCTTTTTCCTTCACTTCCTCCCTGATAAATTGGACTCTCTGAACCATGAGGATTGAGACCCCATGCTTTCATGGCTCCACGCAGGGCTCCTCTTCTGGGGGGACACCAGGTTGCTCAGAACTGCCTCAGAGGCGAGTCCCCCCAGTCTCGTCCCACTCAACACATGCATTTCAGTAGGGTGTCATGCCCACCCTGCCACAGACAGGCAGATAATGCTGCAGAAAAATATAAACCCCAATGGCACTTGAAAGAAAATTTCTCAAGCAACATTTTGGGATTTCCCAGAACAGTTTGTTTTCATTTCAAGATATTTTAATGCCCAGGACTAGTACCTGCTCCGCGGTGGTAATGCATGGCTCAGCAAACTACTGCCCAGGTCTCAGTCCTATGGAGAGGGTTTTACATACCACCCAGCTGACAGCACTCCAGTACCAGCCCTGCCCTCACCCACCTTCCCAGCATCTCCACACATGGCCTTACCATGTCCATCAGTGTGTGGGGAGACCTGACGAACACTGAGATGACCTGTAAGAAAAGCGAAAATAAAAGAGGGCTTTTCTAATGCCCAGTAGTGTTTTGCAAAAAATAAATAAACATAAAAATAATAT